GTTGATAGAAATTTAGTAAAGAATAAAAGAAATAATCCTGTTTGCCACTCAATGTTTCGTTTGCAAACCACAACACCCAAAAGGAGAGAGAGAACAGAGGGGAATGTCCTGCCACAGAGTCAGGGTGGGATGGGGGGTGGGGGGGTGGGAGGGATACTGAGATGCGTAGTGGTGGGAAGTGGGCACTGGTGGAGGGATGGGTATTTGATCATTGTATAATTGAAACCCAAGCACAAAAATGTGCAAGTCTGCAACTGTACCTCATGATGTCTCACTATTAAAAATTTTTTTTAATAAAAAAGAATAATCCTGATTAGTGTTGACTATAGGTAATAGTTACATGACAATGAAGGAAAGAATAGATCCATACAATATACTAGATTAGTACATCTGAAACATGAGGCCAAGCTCAATATCAATGCCCTAAAAACGTTTACTCTGTATTTCCTGCATCTACCTGAAGAGGATTTGTAGACTAATTCTGTGGATGGTGGAAGTTTCAGGCCCACAGAGGAATGCCCTGCCACAGAGTCAGGGTGGGATGGGGAGAATGGGGGGTGGGAGGGATACTGGGATCAGTGGTGGTGAAAAATGGGCACTGGTGGAAGGATGGGTACTCGATCATATAATTGTATATTTGAAACTCGATCATATAATTGTATAATTGAAACGCAAATACAAAAAAATTGTAAGTTTACAACTGTACATAACGGTGTCTCACTAATAAAAATAAATTAAAAAACAAAAAAAAAGGTCCAGGCCCACCGGAAGAGAAAAAGAAGTATCTGACGTGTAGCTAAAAAGCAAAACCCCTTTAGAAAATGTGGAATCATGTTCAGAACCATAAAATAATAAATATCTTACGATTGCATAAAGGATTTTCTCAAGTAAATAAAAATAATTCCTTCAATCAAATGATGATTTCTCATAGTAAAGGGGGAAAAGTGTAGGTTGGTTCGATAATAGACTTAAACTTAATATATTTATATTTTGTATCTTAACCTGAATCTGGGGCCTTTATTTTCAGATTTGCAGCCATTTCTTCAATTTATTATATTTATGGTGTTTTAAGAGTTCACAAAACTTTTTCAAAGTCTCAGTTGATGCTCACTGTGATTTCATATGATTCTTAGTATTATTTCATCACCAATTTACAGCTTAAATTCAAAACAACTTTTCCAACATTCAACCATGGAGCGCAGCGGAAAAATGACCACAACCCCAAACTACAGCTACTGTAAGATAACCATAAATATTAATATTATTATACTAATTGACTTAAATTATAATAAAAATAATTATTTTTAAAAGATGCCTTTATTGATTTCCAATTAGCATTTGTTAAATGATCCAAAATAACATGAAAATTTGGCACATGTTGCAGAGCATGTACAGAATCCTCATATCTAAACTCTGATCAGGCAAGTTCTTTGTTCTTTCCTATTATGACTCAAAGGTAGTGCTGAAATATCATTTCCTTAGCTCTTCCTTAAGGAATTTTTAATTTTGTACCAAATCTCCCAATACTGAAGCAAAAATTTGTCAAGATCTCCATTCACTTCTCCCAGCCCCTTTTCATGTTTGAATGAAACATATTCACCCTCTTTCCCCCTTGAGCAACTCTACGTACGTTCAGGGATCATTTTTCATTATGACTGCATGCATATGTCCTGTTCCTTAGATCAGGGTGAGTTTGCACTGTTTTGCAGTTCCACAAATGGTTAACCTAATTCTCAAGTAAACCAGCAAATTCACTTCAAGGAATAGACAGCAGAGAATCAGAATAATGGGTCTCAAGTAAAGAGTTGTACACAAAAATTAAAAAGTACAATTCACCATTACCAAAATGCTGAAACAACCCAAATACTTAACACTAGACGAATGCATAGACAAAATGTAGTCTGGGTGTATATATACGTCTACAAACACACACAGACACACACAATAGAATAGTATTAAGTCATAAAAATAGAGTAAAATACTGGTACATGTTACACCAAACAAAAGCTGAAACATCTAGTAAGGTCTGTAGAAGACTTCAAATGCCAGTGTTTGAATTAATTTAAAGGCAATATCAATATATGATGGTGATAGTTGGAATGGGATTTGTGTGTGTATTGTTGGGGTAGGGGGACATGAAAATATTTTGAAATGTGATAATGTAGTGATGATGCATTCTTTTTTTTTCTTTTTTTTTGGGTCCCACCCAGCAATGCACAGGGGTTACTCCTGGCTCATGCACTCAGGAATTACTCCTGGCAGGAATTACTTGGGGTAATATGGGATGCTGGAAATCAAACCCAGTTAGCTGTGTGAAAGACAAATGCCCTACTTGCTGTGCTACTGCTCCAGCCTCAATGATGCATTCTGAATATACTGTATGCCATAAAATTATAAACTTTAGAATGCTTAACTTAATCTTATGTGAATTTTTCCTCCATTTAAAAACAGCAGTGGAAAGGTATGATTGATAGCACAACAGGGTCAATACATATTCCAAGCACAGCTGGATGAGATCCCGGTGACCCCCCAGTACCACAAGTTATGTCTCTGAGTACCACACGGCTATGTAGTGTATCACTGGGCTCAAGAACTAAACTGTTAATCCGAACAGTCAGGCCAAGTTCAGTTAGGAGGAAGCCCCAGGCCTTGAATCTCCTTTTCTCCAAATAAACACATAAACAATGCAAACATAAGTAAATTTATCCTAGGTCTGCATATGTGTGTGAGGGAAATTGATTGGGCATTGGTGTAGGAGGAGCTGTGAGGGTGTGCATAGGTGTGTGGGGAGTGTTGTATACTTTATTTTCTTATTTGGAGTTGTTTAAATTTCTTTCCTTTTTTTGCTTCCACGCCTTTCATAGGGCTGCTGGCTGGAAACTGGAAATGAGCTAGGTGTCTCCCAAACCCATTATTTCTCAGCATAGAACCAAAATCTCATAAATGGATGAAAGCTTCTATCAGATTCCATAAATTTCAGTAGAAAAACTCCCCATGATGCTTTAAAGTCTTTTGATTCTTAGGCACTTATTTCAGACATATAGTAGTATTTTAAAACAATGCATGATTTTTTTTGTGCTTCTTCACTCATAGTCCCCAAATATAAATACTCAAGTAAAAATATCAAAATCAAAATAACTTATTTAATATAAAATATGCCTGCTTATGTGCATGCATTCATGTGTGTATACGTATGTTCTCTCTACACATTACAATATAGCATACATGCATGTCAGTGTCTAGGAGCTGGAGCGATAGTGCAGTGGGTAGGGCATCTGCCTTGTATGCAGCCGGCACGGGTTTGATTCCTCCGCCCCTCTCGGAGAGCCTCATAAGCTACCGAGAGTATCCCACTTGCAGGGCAGAGACTGGCAAGCTCCCCGTGGTGTATTTGATATGCCAAAAACAGTAACAACAAGTCTCACAATGGAAATGTTACTGGTGCCCACTCGAGCAGACCAATGAACAACAGGAGGACAGTGCTACAGTGCTACATATCCACAAGAGGCATAGACTTTATAACCATGAGCTCATGCGTGCATGCATGTCTGAATATATATGCATCATGCATAAACCTGCATGTTATTGTATGCTTATATAAGCATCATCTTTCTTGCAAGCCATTTGAGAAGAAAAGTCACCTTTGACTCATACAGGGTATGTTATTTCTTAAAACCAATTGTCATCCACTGCACAATTGTTAAGATCTGCATGTTAATATTGACAGTGCTAAAGACCTCCGCCATAGCCCTTTTCAATTTTCACTACTTATCCTAAAAATGTTCATTCTAGCAAAAGGAAAATCAGGGACTGGAATATATGAAATTTATCTGAAAGGAATTGGGAACTGGAAGTTTTGAAAGGCCCTCTCCTGTACCTGGCTCATTGTGTTTTTAATCACCAAGATGATATATTATGAAGCATGCCTGAGGTGCCTAAAGATTGGATTCAGGAATTAATTTCACTCAATTACTTAATACCAAATGCGGGTGCTTTTACATTGTTAAGCTATTAATCACTCTTTTAAGAATAGAAAGAGGGTCAACAAAAAAACCATAAGGGTCTGAATATCTTTCGGCCTAAAAGTGTTCTCTGTTTACTTTTTCTTTGATCATGAAAATCCACAGGCAGCCATAAAAATTTTACTGGAGCTATAATTATTTAAAACTTTCAGGGTGTCTCTAAAGCACTTTATAACAACCTCAAGTATCATAACTTGATATTATTTCTACTTTTCTACTTATAATGAAAACAAGAGTTGTGAGTCCTATTCATCATTTCCACATGGAAAAACAGTTTTAAAAAAATGGTGTGTTTATTCACCTAGAAAATGCCCAGCTGGGGTTTATTAACCACATTTTAGTTACTCATCTTTATGACTCCCTACTACAGATAAGATAAAATCACAAGGACCTCCCAGGTGACAGATCCAGAAAACCACTGGATCAGAACAGAGTTGGGGTGTTTTGTGAATGTTCCATAGTCAACAAAAGATTATTTATGTATGACATATCAGTTCTCTGGAATTTTTAGCCAATTATAGCCTATAGTCAGTTTTGATCAATCACCATCTGATCTAATTAGGTGTCCTCTCAATATTGAAAAGTTGAGGGTAATTGTCTTCAAATTTATGTCAGCATAAGCCCAACATAGATAGCAATTTAACACAAATATAGATAGATGCATGGACAGATATTAACCATTTCTAATGAAAGTTTGTTCGTTTTATATACACATCTAATGACCTGCTGACCTGCTACCTATCAAACATCTTTCTGTCTCTAAAATCCACTCGACAGCTGCAAACAAACCTTTCTTTAAGATAAAGTCCCAGAATAATTCCAAATACATTTCTGGCTGTAGGCACTCATAGTTCAGCTGGGCTCATTGATCTATAAAGAGATAAACCACAAATTGGGGTCAATCATTCTCTAGTGTATGTCTGAGCTATGGAATCATGAAGAAGAATTTGGCTGAAAGATTTTATGTTTTTTTTTCCCCAGGGGAGAGCCTGAACACAGTTCCCCCACTACCACAAATAATGCAGTTGAGTTTCCCATATTTGGGGAAATTGCGTGGGTCAGCAAATCCAGAGTGCAATGGATGAGCCTCGCCCTGGGGAAACCAACTTCATGTCATAGTATCTCCCTTGCCAGTTAAGTATTATGTATTTGTTCAAAAGAGATTACATAGCTATAAAATACTGATGATTAAAGAGGAATAAGTCAGGGCTGGAGTGATAGCACAGCAGGTAGGGTGTTTGCTTTGCACACAGCCAACCCGGGTTCGATTCCCAGCATCCCATATGGTCCCCTGAGCACTGCCAAGAGTAATTCCTGAGTGCAAAGCCAGGAGTAACCCCTGAGCATCGTGGATGACCCCAAAAACAAAAAATATATATAAATAAAGAGGAATAAGTCAGGGATACAAGAGTAGAAAGGATGCTAACATAATCTATAGAGATACCTATGTCTATATTTATATAAGGATACAAAATATACATATATATACAAAATGCATAGATGTAGGTCTGTACGTATATGCATATGCATAAGCTTATACACATATATATTACATAATGTAAGTATACAGTATTATGCACATAGTATCTGAGTGATGGTAAATATAGAAAGCTCATGCATAACTAAATACATGAACATACATTATGTATGTATATATATATAATTATGTGTGTGTATTTGTGTATGTTTCTGTATATTTTGCAAATAAACTATTTTAACAAGTCAGGAATCCACAAAAGACTCTAAGTCCAGAATAAGCAGAGTTGAGTGCTTTCTGTGTTCAATACTCCTTTTGGGAAATCTTGGATAAAAGTGAAGTCCTCCCAAATTTGTTGTCAAATATCAGTCTTCTCATCCCTCTGGCACCCGCCCTGCTATACTGGCCACCGTCCACTCTCTCAGGCACACATGACACACCAGCCACAACAAACAAACTGGAGGACATTCATTTCATTGACCCAGCCCAAATGAACCTGCTGCATCGGGAGGATGATGGATGAATTGATTTGCCCTTTTTGGCTTCTTCTTTTCTTTCCCATCAGCTTGGAACCCTTCTGCTTAGCTTTGAGTCACAGACGAAACACAAGCAAGAAACTTCCAATGGAGAAAGCAAGCTGTGAGTCAGGCTGGCTTTCTGACTCAGCGCTGATTTCTTTTCTTGTGCCTCTCGGCTCTCTCCCTCCTCTCCAGCCACTCTCCACGCTGTTGTCCACCTTTCTTGGGGCCTCCTTAACATTTCTTAGAAAACTCAGTCTCCAAAATAACTTACATTGTCCTTCTGGTTAGGTCTTTTCTAATGCATGACCCTCCAGAAGGTCCTTCTCAGCTGTTAAGGGAGCGCTTCTGGTCATCCTATCAAAATTTGTACCCTCCACTTTTCAAAATCCCCTTCATGACTTTACTATTTTCCTCCTTCATGCTCATCACAGTGGAAGTTGCTTGGTCTTTCTGCTTTTTTTTCCTTGTTCTATTTCTTTTTACCAGCCACTGTTAGATGTGAGCTCCACTGGGCATGGGATTTGTAAATGTGGTCTTCCTCCTTCCACCCACAGGTTTTAGATCAGAGCCAGGATCTTAGTTTGCAATTTGGTCAAGTTCATTTTCACAGGGAATCACCCAGATTCCTGGTTTGCCCTGTGCTGTGTTCAGGGAGGTAGAGTCTAGTGGATAGCATCAATCCTTAAATGCCTGTTGTACTCTCGGTCAGTGAGTGGCTCTGAGAAGAGTGGGAGAGAGAGAGAGAGAGAGAGAGAGAGAGAGAGAGAGAGAGACAGAGACAGAGACAGAGAGAGACACACACAGAAACAGAAACAGAGACAGACAGAGACAGACAGAGACAGAGAAGCAAACATACACAGAAACTGAGAGAGCTAGAGAATGAGAGAGATGAGAGAGAAAGAGAGTTATGCTATTTTTTTCTCTCACCCCACTTTGGCTTTGGTCTTCTGTTTCCTGCATGCAGTACTGCTGGGGGTTCCGCCAGGTACCCCAGTCCTATGATAGAAGCAACCACTTCTTGTTCTCCTTCCTCAGCGGGGGTGTCAGCGCTTCCTGCTGCCCCTAATCGCTGGACACTGCATCCTCTTTAGATGTTTACTTGTAAGTCTGCCCACATATCATTAAGGAGACCTTTCATTAGAATCTATTCATTTGTACCATCTGGGATGAGCTCTCTTTGCTGCCAGGACTCTGAGTGATAAAGAACTCAATAAACACGTGTTGAAAGATTGTTGAATGAACAAAAAGTCTTGGCATCCTTTGAAAACTTGATTGATTGGCTTTGGCACGGGAACCGCCCTGGAAGAGGACACTGGAGAAGAGAAGGCAAGAAGTCAGCCCCAGGAATATAATTCCCAAATGCCTTGCTCCACCGTGGATATGTGAAAACTGCATGAGGCCCTCTTTGAGGATGAAAGAATCCAATCCACAATCTAGCAGACTTTTCTTCCCCAGGAGCATTGCTTTGTCTACTTTCGGTTATGTGTATCGGCCACATACCTTTGATGCTGGTAAAATGTGTTTTGAAACAGATTATAATTCTTACAGAGTGACAGCTAGCGTGAGAGGCAATTGAATTATTGTGACTTCCAGTTTGCTTGTTTGACTAATTTTTGGACCTTTATGAGCTGAATTTTCTGTCTGGGAAACTGACAGACACTTTATAGAGATGCTTTAAGCATAACAACAGGACGCAGGTTAAAGGCTTAGCACAGATTATGGCTCAGTCTGGGCTCAACGAAAAATGTTATTTGCATCTTTCCTTCTTTTTTTCTCATTTACCTTCTTCCCCTTGTTGTTCCTTCTGAACAAACAGAATGGGGTCACAGAAAAAAAATTTTTTGTCTATCACAATGTGTAATTGCTCTGATTTTTTTTAAAAAATATGTGCAATAACATCTCTGAAGAAGTGCATCTCATGGTTTCTGTTCAGACTCAGGTCCAGGGACAGTTGCAAGAGAAAGAAGAATGATTAAGAGATTGAATAGTGACTGCCCTCACATCAGCCCCCCCCCCCAAAAAAAAGATCAGCCCCACACTGTACAATCAGCTTGCTATGCTTGATTGCTTGGCAGGTTCAGCAATATTCCACAAGCATTAGAGTTACATACCACGGACTCAAAATTGAGCCCATTTTAAGATATTGAACAAGAGAATCTTGGCTGCTTTTCTTTGCCATTGGGAGAAACAGAGGAGCCTTCTTGGAAGGTTATTGGTGTGAAATCGTTAGTTATAGCTTTAAAATGTACCACTTGATGTGCATGTTAGGACCTATAGACATATTTCCAACATACACCTTCCCCCTTGTCTTTTCTTGTTTGTTTATAAAGCCAACAACACGCTATAGAGGTAGGGGAACATGTGAGTGCTGGCTTCCAAAAAATTCGACACACTCCAGGATGGAATAACAGAATCAAACGTGCCTTCCAACCAAATGCTGTGTGCAGGAAAATGCATGGCCTCCAAGCCCACTCCCAAGCAGTGGCATTCCCCCATGGCCATGGTATGTATGTACTGGGTTACTTTTACTTTTCTTGTGCTCCTGAGTTCTCCCTGTGCCAAAGTCATGAGGCTCATCCAAGAAATTATAAAGCTGCCGTGATAGCTGTATTTATGGAGCTGATAGGACTGAAGTCTCTGAACTGGCACAGGACTTAGGGAAACAGCAGTGGCATACTTAAATCGCTTGCAAGATAAGACAAAAACAAGACAGAACGGGATGATGAGAATATCCCTGATCACAACGTGTGTGTGTGTGTGTGTCTGTCTGTCTGTCTGTCTGTCTCACTTAAGATAATGCAGGTACTTTGATGTCCTTATCTCACCCTCCGTTGCTCACCCAGAATCATATTTTGAGATGCCAGGTTGAATTAAATAAGTTCATCTTGTCTCTTGAGCGGGCCCAGTAACGTCTCCATTGGAGACTTTGTTGTTACTGTGTCTGGCATATGGAATACGTCACGGGGAGCTTGCCAGGCTCTGCCCTGCGGGCGAGATACTCTCGGTAGCTTGCCGGGCTCTCTGAGAGGGGCGGAGGAATCGAACTCGGGTTGGCTATGTTGGCTGCGTGCAAGGCAAATGAGGGCAAATACCCCTCTCGGAGAGCCTGGCAAGCTACCGAGAATATCTCGCCCGCACGGCAGAGCCTGACAAGCTACCCGTGATGTATTCGATATGCCAAACACAGTAACAACAAAGTCTCCAATGGAGACGTTACTGGGCCCGCTCGAGCAAATCGATGATCAACGGGAGGGCCTTTACCTTTTTGTCTCTGCTTTGACACTTGCCTTTATTGCTGTACCTAAAGGTTGGTGGCTTCCTATTCTATTCAGGATATATAATCAAATTCCTGATCTGAGCTCCAAAACTCTCTGCACTTCACCTGTACCTCCATACTTCTCATTTGACAACATGCTTTTCTTTTTCTTTTTTTTTGATATGTGAAAGTTACTTTATTTATTTATGTTTTAATTTTTTTAGTGAAACACCATGAGGTACAGTTGTAGAATTACAATTTTTTGAGCTTGGATTTCAATTGTACAGTGATCAAATACCCATCCATCCAACAGTTCCTATTTTCCAGCACCACGAATCCCAGTATCCCTCCCACCCCCACCTCCCATCCCTCCCTGCCTCTGTGGCAGGGCATTCCCTTTTGTTCTCTCTCTCCTTTTGGGTGCTGTGGTTTGCAAAAGAGGCATTGAGTGGCAATCATATTCAGTCTATAGTCTACTTTCAGCATGCTTCTCCCATCCGGGGAGGGTCCTCCCAACACTCTTTATTTGGTGCTCCCTTCTCTATCTGAGCTGCCTTTTCCCCTAACATGCTTTTCTTTTTCTATGTTCTAGTCACACACGCTGTCTAGCCAGCTTCAACTGACCTTCCCATCTGTGATTCTCAAATTTTACAGGCAAGAGAGAATTCTGGGAGGCTTGCTGAAACCCAGAGGCCTGAAAACAATATCAAAGCTACTCTCATTGGGACTGGAGCAATAGCACAGCGGATAGGGCATTTGCCTTGCATGAGGCCAATCCGAGTTTGATTCCCAGCATCCCATTTGGTCCCTTGAGCACTGCCAGGAGTAATTCCTGAGTGCATGAGCCAGGTGTGACCCAAAAAAGTAAAAAGCAAAAATCAAAAAAAC